CTTACACGAAATAGGGTGAATACATCTCATTTCCTATTTCCATCTGTTATGCCATGTCCATAACTTCCTATGTCCTAATCTCTTGTGTGCCAACCCACATACTTTGTGGTTCAACATTGAACCTAATCAAAGCAAGCAGTACCATAACATTTGTGGGTTGGCACAGAAGAGACTAAGACATGGCAATTCATAGACTTGGTATTAGAAATCGAGACAGGATAGACGCGGTGGCGATTGGAGCTAGTTGGCTGACAGAAGGTTTTACAAGAGACGTGGTCCATGCAGCCAAGGCTCGAGAATGAGACTTTCTCTGAGGCTTTAGACTCGAATTAGTCAACCAGACGCAGGAGAGGGTGAATAACGCCTCGAGTAAGACAGATGGGGTGGCAGGGGTCGAGTGAAATATGTGAACCAGGGAGAGAGCAGACAGATCTTACGGTGCAAGAGAGAGACTGTGATAAGATCTAGGGCAGGAGGGCGTAACAACATTCCCAACACAAGGATGAAGGGGGTGAAGAGGGAGAGAAGTACAGGGTGGAGTGTGAAGGGTTTTCATGAAGGCTGCTCAAAAGGAGGATATAAGCCAGGGCAGGAGAGATATCATAACTGTTTAGTACAAGTTTGATCAAAGGATGTGTTTCACTTGTCTCTTTGACGAGCTGTACTATGGCCACTCGATTTGGATTAGAGGACATCACGAATTAGGCAAACGTATCTTTGCTAATACAATCGACTGCATTACTTATTTCTCGTATATAAGTAGTCTCGATACGACCAGTAAATTGATAATGTGATATGATTCGCGCTATTTCGTTTCAGCCGCCAAAAGACCGCTAGTCAAATGGTCGCCACAATCTGACCAGCCAGAAGCATGCTTCCATTTGAATTGCCCAATCTGCTGCAGCTCAGACCTCTCCTCGTCGGCACTCTCGGTGGGACTCGAACTCCTCAGCCAAATTCAATGTAAACCTGACGCCTACCAATCAGATTGCAGGAAAGTTCTACTGCCAAACGTCCATCGCCCTTTCCAACTCTGCTGAATGATGATTTCATTTAGTCTCGAAAACCCACTTACAAACTCAAAACGTTGTCGGGCAAAATGAGAAGTGATAACGCACCTGATCGACAGCAAAATTGGTCAATTCATCGACTTCACTCGTCTCTGACGCTCTCTAGTTTGGTGCTGAGAATGGCAAGATTAGCTGTTGAGGCCAACTGCGCTGCCGACGACACGTCTGGCAATGTCGAGCAGAGGACTTTGGACAGGGTGCATCTAACTAGGTCGGCTTGGCAACAGCAACCAATTAGAAAACGATGCCAGCTCACTTTTGTGCATAAAAAGGAGACAGCCAGCATGACAGAGGCCAAGACGTCTTGGCCTTCACGTCAAAACGTGCTGTCTGGCTGGATTTTCGCATCGACATGGTGGAGCGCAGTTACCGACGTCTAGTAACTGGCCTTCTTCACAAACCAATTGACAGAGGCCATTTTGTTGCTTGTTCATGTGCTCACAATTGCTGGAACTGCTCGTGAAAAACTGAATTCCAAACGGACACTTGCAATTTGAAGAAAGACTGAACTTGACAAAAAATCAAAACCGAAACCAAAAGGCACCCGCACAACAGTTAGACAAGATTCCGCGTGTTTTCACGACTCCAGTGCCTTCAAGGACCTGCGCGATTCCTCCACAACCGGTTGCTGCCCCCTTCCGCTGCTATGCACAGGAAAATAAAGGGCCGAAAGCCAATTCTCATTCGATAGCACCATTTCTCTCGGCGTTGAACCGAACGAAAATGGTCTATTTCGTCTTGTTCCAGCGGAATGCGGCATTGCAACTGAGGCGTGTACCTGTGCTCGTGTGTACGTTGGCCAACTCAATCCGGCAAGCAATTTATCGCAATTACTTTTCTAATGAGTAGACTATGCTTCAGTCGGTTGCCATGGCTGAGGCTATGGAAACGGATAAATAGACGCAATGCACTGGATGCAAGCTGGACGAGTCAGCTCGTGGCACCGACCGTGGCCGGCTGCAAACAGAAGAGGCGGCAGAGCCAAAATGGCCGAGCTGGTGGCTTGTCAGCGACAGCGAATCAAATCTGGTCGGTTGCAGAGACCGGTTCTGGCTGCACTGGATCCCGGCCGAAGAGCAGGTTGAACAGACAACTCGTCCGGCTCTGGAGGCAGTTGAGCTGGCAAACGTGCTACAACTCAACTTGCCCATCGCACATTCATCAACTGGCCTCGGTTCAGTTGATTGTGACATGACTTCTGTTGGAATCAATCAAATTGGTCCTCGTCCAATCGACCAGACCTTCATGAGTAGTATATTAAGTAGTCTAAAATAGTGAATTCAAC